TCGTGTCTCTCCGCCTAGTCCAGTGTCGTTTTCCATTCGTGTCTCTCCAGCCGGTCCTGAGTCGTTAACCATTAATCCATATTAAAAAAAAAAAAAAAAAAAAAAAAAAACGAAAAAAACCCCCAACCTTTTTTGTAAGTTCTTACCAAAGCAAAGCATGCACAGACAGACAGACAGACAGACAGATAGATAGAGCTCAGTTGCCCTGTATCGACAGCTAAACTGTGTGAGCTCATTAAAAGAAGAAAAACAGGGAAAAATGATCAAATGGACAGCAGTGGGGTTTCTGATGAATAACACCTCGTTATTCCCTCTGGGAATTTTCCACACTGAAAAAACTTTAGTAAACATGAATAGAGGTGAACAAAAAGACTATACATATAAACTGATTTAATATTCAGTCAGGATGTTTTCCAGGAAGGTATTGCTATTTTGGTGTATAGAGAGCATAATAATCATAATCATAATCATAATCATAATAATAATAATAATAATAATAATAATAACCCCCCCTAATAAATAAAGACAAACCTTCCATGAGCTCAAAGCCTATTTAAAAGTATCTCCCTCTGTAGAAACCACAACAATGTGACATTTCAAATTTGTGATCTCAGAAAAACTTTTTGAAACTTTTAATTTAAAAGAAAAAAGAAAAGAGCTTAGCAGTGACCACCCACTTCTTCCATAAAGCACTGTGAGGCTGGATGATACACGGGGCAACTTTTTGAGCAATTTTGCCTGCATGGGCAACTTTTTTTGAGCAGTGTTGCTTGGGCACTTTCCTATTGAGGATGGGTAACAAATGTCTATCTGGATACTTTAGATCGGTCGTGGGCCCTGTGTCTCACCTGGTTGCCCGTTGGCGGCAACAATCCTCAAAAAGTTTCCCAGTGTATCATCAGCCTAAATGATGTAATCGTGTCAATTTATTTGCACAGTCAAACTAGGATACTGAACCGAACAACTAGCTGTTAACGATGCATCTAAACACATTGTGTCTCTCTTCTGTATGTGTGGTATGCAAGGTATGTCTTGACTCATTTGTGTTGCCAGATAAAAAAAAACAATGCAAATAAGAACAAGCCAATAAACAACTTCCAAAATGTTTTATCTTTGGAAATAACCCACATACCAAAACATCACAATATGCCATTGCCTACTTTATTAACTTAACTTTATGTTAGCTTTATGTTAACTCCATAACTTCATGTTTTCATGAGCTTATAATAAGAGGACATGGCAACACTTCAAAAGTGCGCTCTGCGAAGCTGCCTTCAAAACATAAACAAAACACGATGGCTCTAAAATTTTTCAGCAGGGTCACTGCAGTTATTTAAATGCGGTTGTCACTCCTGAAATTTTACAGTGTGTACGTGGCCGCAGATGAAAGTTTTAAGCTTCAAATCAAAGGTTATAATGTTGTGATTCATCTTAGAGCTGGTTTGGTAGTGTCTTTAAGAAATTTTGAACCAAAACAAGTTGTCTCTCACTGTTGTGCTCTATTGTGATGTGCGCAGAGTGTAGGTTGTCTAAGATCTGGCAAAAAAGGCCAGATTTATCAGTTTTATAATGCAAAACATTCATGCACCACAACTAGACATAGCTAATAAAATAACATGCAATATAATTGCTGAGACGTCTTATAAGCATCCAGGCCAAGTGAGTTCCTCTCCCTCGTCATCCTCACTAACGAGCACTCTAACATGAATTCACACCCACAGCGGGACAACAAATGAACATTTCTCAGAATGAAGCCTTTAACAGCAAAGCCATCGCCATGGCAACAAACACACCATTAGTAAAAAAAAAAATCGACTCCCTTCAATGTATCTTTGATTGCATACAACAATGTTAAACACAAACGCATCAAAACAACATCAGAAATGTGATTTAGTGTTCTGTCATTTTGCGTATTTACCTTTAGGGATATTTGTCTTGTGGTTACACATATTTTCTTGCACTTTCATAGCTCAGATTTGATTGTGATTTTCAGAAATGTTCAATATCAAATTCAAAAGACACAAATGAGACAATTGTTCACAAAAAGTATAGTATATAGTATAGTGTTACATATATCGGATAATGTGGTTATAAAATATACCTTGAAAGCACAGAAAACCTTGAAAAGCGTCTGCTGAATGCATACATGAATTGGATGCGAAATGTTGATGAACACAGATCTGAGCACAGTTTGAGACAGTTAAGATGTCTTCTGAGGCTCTCCAGGAGATTAATGCATATCTCTGAGCAGCAGACTTATACAAAGTCTCCATTTGATCTCATTGCTGTCTAGGGAAAATAAGTGTGATATTAAAGCGATGTGTGATTTTTCATTCACATGCTGGATATGTGGAAATGTGGAATATGATTATCATATAGAAGACTGAATGTGTGTCATTGGTGCTGGGTTTAAGGGTAATTACTCAGATAAAATCTGCAGCAGGAGAGTCACATGACTCAATTTACATTACCGCCTGTGATTTTTATCATCTGGGAGATTATATACTACCAATCTTTCCCTGTTTTTGTTCTCTTGCATGAGTGGCTTTGTTAAAGGGCTATTTCGCTCAAAAATGTAAAGTCTGTTGTCATTTCCTCACCCTCACCCTCATTTTGTACCTTCTTCTGCCAACACAAAAGGAGATTTTGTCTTTTTGAAGTGCTGTCAATCGATTAAAAAAGAATAATTAATTGCACATTTGTTCTGAAATTAATCGCGATTAATTCCACCTAACATTACAATTTTAATAATAGTTTTTTATTGCAATAATTTCACATTCATTCCTTAAATTAATGTAGAAACAACACAAAGACAGTATATTTTTAATATTTGTATAATGGCAACTTTTTATGACTGAAGGCCAGTATCACTGATACCAATACAACAGATGTTTGAACCAGAAACTGATTGATGATGAAGAGGAAGAGCATATTATACAGGGGCGTCTACTAGTCCACATATCAGAATGGTAATGCATTTGATGTATCACTCTCGGTGATGTCAGACATGATATAATTAACCTTTGGCTTGACTGCACTATCAAACAGCTAATAATGTATTGCTAATGTTACACAAACCATGCTCCTGTTCACTAATGATATGCAAAGCCCCGCCCCACATGTTGACAGACGTGGAACTTATTTCCTACTTGGGAAATAGGTTTCAAACTGCTTTTCTGAGACTGTCTTTGGTAAACTGCAGTTTTAGGGAGCAAATGTTCAGCAATGGTGTTGACTGATGAATTTGCACATTGCTTGTCTTTAAGCGTATTAAAAACACCAGCTAGACATGATAACAACATTAAACATTAATGTTGACCACAGGAGGGGCTTTAAATATTCACATCTAGCGTGTTCAATACAGTACCAATGTCCAGTCTGTGAATGAATCATTCTTTTAAGTCGCATCTTTCAATGAATCTGGTTCAAAAAACGAGATCTGAAAGATTCAATCATAAAACAGAATCAACTGGTTCTCAAATTCAACCATCATTGATCTGGATACAGCAATTAACAGTTCACTGGAGGGGAAGATTGTGAGTGAACAACATCTACAACTATATTGAGACTGTATAGCTGCAGAATATAGCACACAAGTCATTTAGATGACTTTAATGATATTTTACAGGGCATCTGGATCCATTTTGAAGCTTGAAAGCTTTTGGCCCCATTCATTTTAATTGCTTGGGGGAAAAAAAACAAAAACAAAAAAAACAACAACAACAATTCATTTTTCTCTTTCCACAGTAAGTCACATGGGTTTGAAACAACACTAGGGGTGAGTAAATAACCACATCTTTCATTTCTGAGCTAACTATTCCTTATGTGCTTAGAGGTGCGATCTTTGACTATTAACAGGCCTGCAGAGTTACTTTCACAGCAGTGGGAGGGCGAGCGATTTTCAAAGAGAGAAAGCGAACGGCAGTCCGTTTCTCGTGAGTGCACGAGCCGTTTATTGCCAAGACTTTCTAGGCAAACTAATTTGCGAGTTATTAAAGCTCAGCCAGCATGGTTTCTGCTACCCACCTTCCTCTGTTGCCATGACAGTGATGTTGTGCCAGGGCGTATCCTCACGGTCCAGGAGCTGAGTGGTTCTAATGACTCCGCTGATGGATTCGATATCGAAATACACCTCTTTGTCTTCTCTCCGCTCGATAAAATACCTAAATATAGAAGAGAGAGCATGAATACTGCATGAACCTTTCCGTCTTTCACCCCTCTACATCATGGCTGTGGCATTAGCTTGTATTGCTATACATGACTGGGTCGTGAAACCCGGCCAACTCCATGTGTGGCGAGACTTACTGTATGGCAGGACTATTTGACTTAACCTCAGCCTAAAAGGATATATTTTCAATTTTATAACAATTATTTTTTATTATATTGACCAAAAGCTTATACAACAGTATGAGTAATTGTACATATAAAAATACATAATAATAATAATAATTAACAAATAAAAATAATTAAACATAATAATTTGATAGCAATAACAGCTTCAAATTGTATAACACTCAATAAATCTAGGCACCATTTCCATAACATCATGTCGCCCAGCTTGATGACAGATCAGTGTAGAAATACAGAGAGGAATATATAATATAAAAAAAAAACGTGACTTCATGGAAAGCTGAAAAGTAAAGATGGAAAATAGCAGGAGGTTCATTAATACTAAAGAACAATGCACTAAAACCTAAAGAGTTTCTAATTAACTGAGCTTACATTACATTACAAAATGTGCACTGCATTCAGCATTAATATTTCCTTGAAACTATTCAAGTTCATTTCGTTCATATGATTTCTCTAAATGGTCAATCACCCTGCAGACAGCAAACAGGTCATTTTTAGTGAGATTTATGAGTGCTTTTGGGTATATGTAATGATTTATAATAATATTCCAAGTGAAATGACAGTGAATCACAGCTTTAGATAACAGACCTGACACAACCTAAAGATTATAACTAGAAAGAAAGAAAGAAAGAAAGAAAAAAAAGGAAAGAACTACAGGAGTAAAGTGCAAGTAGAAAAACTGCAGCAGAGAAGCATTAGTTGGACATGGTTAACAAATCCTCAAGTGACATGCTTGGTAGAGACGCTCAAAAGAAGGACTGTCAGATTATCTTTCCAAGCATGAATGTGAAATTAAAACACATTTGCATTTCCTAAAAGAAATACTAGAGTGTGCAAGGCAGCCAAAATTAGAGTTCACATTTTATGTAACCATAAGATTTGGGTTTTGGTTCTGGATAGTTAGTTGCGGTTCTGCTGTTTTGGTTTTGTGGCAAAGGGGTCAAGGTTTACTGGTTAGCATTGGTTGGGTTAGCTAGTAGATGCCAAAAAAATATTTCCCAATTAAGAGCAGTTGAAAAAGCAGCCATATATTTTGATTGGGAAAATAAGTGAATAATAATAATAAAAATTAGAAATAGATTAACATATATATATAGACACACAGCCTGTGCCTCTTTCATTGTGTTGCCTGCAGCCAAGATGTCCTCCAGGTCGAAGGTCATCATGGCCTGCATTTCCAGTATAGTGGCATACGTGAGCGCATGATACATGCTGTCTTTATTCCTGCCAAAGAACACAAAGGAAGACGGTGCATTAGATCTATATATAGAACAAAGGAGAGGGTGGTGTAACAGTGACGGTAAAAGAAAATTTACCACTGAGACACTCAATAACATCATCAATAACACAAATGAAGTCTGGAAATGGATGAAAGTGTTTGAGTAACCTGACCATCCTGAACACAGTGCGTCTTGTAACATAATACCAAAAACACTAATACTAATGACATTATGAAAAAGTAAAACTACCAGAAAACACACATTGTCAATTAAAAATGTGAATACAGATTTTGTTAAAATAAAATACACTATTATTATTTACCTTATCACAATATTTTTTTGTAAGTAAATTCAAAGTGGTTAAAAGTGCTTTAAAAAGGGGTCATATGATGCTGCTAAAAAGAACATTATTTTGTGTATTTGGTGTAATGAAATGTGTTTATGCGGTTTAAAGTAAAAAAAACACATTATTTTCCACATACTGTACATGATTGTTTCTCCTCTATGCCCCGCCTTTCTGAAACGCGTCGATTTTTACAAAGCTCATCGGTCTGAAAAAGCGAGGGGTGCTGTGATTGGCCAGCTATCCAATGCGTTGTGATTGGCCGAATACCTCAAGCGTGAGACGGAAATGTTACGCCCCTCACCATACTGTGTTGATGCCGTGTCCGAGACAAAAACAATAAAGCCCATTTTAAACGAGGCATTTAATTGTTGCATCCAGTGGGGACATAATTACGGATTATAATGACTTATACTGTATTTTTACGCGTTGCGTTGC